GACAGCAATTCCCGCAAGTCAGAGACTTGGGATGAACCTCTCACAGAGCGTGAGGGTAGAGATGGAACCCCCTGTCCATTAAAGAATGAGACTGGCTCCTGGTGAACATGGATCTTGAGTCCACGTTGATCTTTTTGAACACGACGAATCGCATCGTGTTCTGAAGAAGAAACACGAGGGTCGTGTTCTGTTTTACTAACGCTAGACCGAAGTCTGCGTTTTGTTGATGAAACGCACCTTTGCCGGTTGCGTTTTTGTTGGTTAACGCAGTTTGTAAGTCTGCGTTTTGGATCTTGAACGCACTCCTGAGAGTTGCGTTTTGGTTCTGAAACGCACTCCTGAGAGTTGCATTCCGCCAAATCAACGCAGTTTTGAAGGCTGCGTTTTGATTGCACAACGCACCACTGAGGGCTGCGTTTGGCATAAACTGAGTCCACTCCTTTAGAGGTGGGGCTACTCGAGTAATCTCGGCGGCTGGAGGAGAGGGTTTCCTTTGGCATAGGAGCAACCTTTGGAGCTTTAGTCTCCTTGGCACCTCTCACAGAGCGTGAGGGTAGAGATGGAACCCCCTGTCCGTTAAAGGATGGGACTGGTTCTTGGTAAACATGAATTTTAAATCCATGTTGATCATTTTGAACACGACGAATCACATCGTGTTCCAAAGAAGGAACACGAGGGTCGTGTTTAGCTTGATTAACGCAAGACCAAAGTCTGCGTTTTGCTAGTGAAACGCAGTCCTGCGATCTGCGTTCGGATTCAGAAACGCACTCCTGAGAGTTGCGTTCAGTTTGTGAAACGCACTCCTGAGAGTTGCGTTTTGGTTCTGGGACGCACTCTTGAGAGTTGCGTTCAGCCAGATCAACGCAGGTTTGATGTCTGCGTTTAAATTTTGGAACGCACTCCTGAGAGTTGCGTTTTAGTTCTGGGACGCACTCCTGAGAGTTGCGTTCAGCCAGATCAACGCAGTTTTGAGGTCTGCGTTCTGATGTTGGAACGCGCCTCTGAAGGCTGCGTTCTATCTGGGAAACGCACCCCTGAGGGTTGCGTCTAGCTTGGCCTATGCAGAGCTCATATTGAGGCTCGCAAACGCGGAGTTCGCGTTGATTGGAGGATCGGCTCTGGAGTCGTGCCAAAGTCGAGACTTCTCCTTTAGGGAGGGGACTGTATGAACAGTGCAACCCCCATGGGAGATAGTCTTTAGATGAGTTGGCCACAATTGGAGCTTTAGTCTCCTCGGAAACTTTGTGGATCTTGCGCATAGCCTTGGGGCTAAAGGATCCGGAGGAGAGGGCCTTCTCAAACTTGGCTTGATCGAACTCGATGATCAGAGTTTCAACGGTCGTTCCAATGAGATGAACGTCGGATTGCGCCACCACTTCTTCGTCAGAGAAGCTAGTCCCCAGCGGAGTCGCCATCTTTTGTTCGTTGGAAAATTTTGCAGTAAAAAGACAATGAAAGAAAAATTGACTTGTATTCCTCTCAAAATCGATTACAATTTGGATTCCGATTACAAAAGAGAGGAGAATGAATTTGATTCTCCCCTTTGTTTAATTCTGGGTTCTTCACGGTGGCGATGAGATGCCTCCCTCGAATGCTCGCGTCGAGTTTGCTTCTCGTTGACGATCCGAACGTCTTGATTCACTGGAACGATGTCTTCTCCTCACGATTTGACGCTGTGGAGAACTTGCGTGGCAAGTTTGAAGATAACTCTTGACGAGTTGATAACTCTGAACGAGTTTTAGAAGAACTCGTAGAGTAAGTTTTGAACTCTGATCGAGTTGATAACTCTGACGAGTTTTAGAAGAACTTGCAGAGCAAGTTTTGAACTCTGATCGAGTTGATAACTCTGAACGAGTTTGAACTCTTGAAAAAGAGTTGATTTGAACCGAAAGTTCGGTTAATAAGCCAAGGAAGAAGCTCCTGTTGCTGGTCTCCAAAACTCCTTGTTGCTGCAGAACGCGGCAAGATGCTCGATCAAGGATCCCCAAAAAGTCAGCTCCCCCCCTCCAAAAAAGAGGATCCGAACTCAGTTGAGTTTTGAGGTATTTATAGGGGGTTAAGGGTATAACCGCCCCCTTAAATATCTCCTTAATGAGGGTTTAATGGGGTCTAACTGCTCCCCATAAATCTCTCCATGATAGGGTAGTGATCCCCTAAAATCTTGGGGAGAAAACGGTTCTGGAACCGTTCAAATCGTGCTTGAACGAGTTAAACGCTGAAAACAGCGTTCTGGGCTCGAACTGTGCGTTTCTGGACCTGAAACGCACAGTTGAGGTTGAAAAACGCACAGCTGGGGCTGAAAACGCACAGCTGGAGCTGAAAAACGCACAGCTGGGCTGAAAACGCACAGTTGAGGCTGAAAACGCACAGCTGAGGCTGAAAACGCACAGCTGAGGCTGAAAACGCACAGCTGAGGCTGAAAACGCACAGCTGGGCCTGTAAACGCACAGTTGGCCTGTTTCAGGCTAAAAACGCACAGTTGAGCCCATAAACGCACAGTTGAGCCGTAAACGCACAGTTGGCCTGTAAACGCACAGTTGGCCTGTTTCAGGCTAAAAACGCACAGTTGAGCCCATAAACGCACAGTTGAGCCGTAAACGCACAGTTGGCCTGTAAACGCACAGTTGGCCTGTTTCAGGCTAAAAACGCACAGTTGAGCCCATAAACGCACAGTTGACCTGTAAACACACAGTTGGCCTGTTTCAGGCTAAAAACGCACAGTTGAGCCCATAAACGCACAATTGGCCTGTAAACGCACAGTTGGCCTGTTTAAAGGCTGAAAACGCACAGTTGTGCTGTTTTAGCGATTAACTCTGCGTTTTGATGTTGAAAACGCAGAGTTAAGCCTGGGCGTTTTGACTCTGTAACGCAATCTTTTGTTTGTAGGAAATTTGAAGTAAAAAGACAATGAAAGAAAAATTTGACTTGTATTCCTCTCAAAATCAATTACAATTTGGATTCCGATTACAAAAGAGAGGAGAATGAATTTGATTCTCCCCTTTATTTAAAACTGGGTTCTTCACGGTGGCGATGAGATGCCTCCCTCGAATGCTCGCGTCGAGTTTGCTTCTCGTTGACGATCCGAACGTCTTGATTCACTGGAACGATGTCTTCTCCTCACGATTTGACGTTGTGGAGAACTCTGAACGAGTTTAAAACTCTATGAAAGAGTTGATTTAACCGAAAGTCGGTTATAAGCCAAGGATGAAGAAGATCTTGTTGCCGATCTCCAAAGCTCCAACCGAAGGATGAAGGATCCTCTTTTCGCTGCCAAGAAGTTCCAACAGACCCCTCTTGAACTGAATTGATTTTCAGTTATTTATAGGGGATTAAGGGGTGTAACCACCTCCTTAATTCGCTCCTAAGTGGGGCTAATGAGATGTAACCGCCCCTTAAATCACTCCTGAGTGGAGTTGTGATCCCCTCAGATCGTGGGAAACAGTTTTGAAACTGTTCAGCTCGTGTTTGGACGAGTCAAATGCAAAATCCGCGTTCTGGCGTGAATTCTGCGTTCAAACGCACCGTCTGGAAGCTCGGACGCAGTATTTTGTTGGAAGCTGCGTTTGGCAGCTTGGAAGCTGCGTTTGGGCAGTGATGGAGCTGCGTTTGAGCAGCGATGGAGCTGCGTTCGGCAGCGGTGAAGAGCTGCGTTTGGGCAGCGATGGAGCTGCGTTTGTGCTGCGTTTGGCAGCGGATCTGAGCTGCGTTTGACAGCGGTGAAGAGCTGCGTTTGGGAGCTAAATTAGGAGATCGACTCCGACGAATCGGCTATTATTGGCCGAGGATGTTTTCAGATGCAGTTGACTACGCTAAACGATGCCACGCATGCCAAATTCATGGAGATTTTATCCACCAAGCACCGGGGAACTTACACCCTACATCGGCGACTTGGCCATTCGAAATGTGGGGCATGGATATCGTCGGACCGATTTCCCCTCCGACGTCCAAAGGACACCGGTTCATTCTAGCCGTGACCGATTATTTCTCCAAGTGGGCGGAAGCAATTCCGTTGAAAGAAGTCAAGACTTCAAACGTGATCAAGTTCATCAAACATCACGTCATCTATCGCTTTGGAGTCCCAAGACGAATAGTTCACGACAACGGGACGCAATTCGTCAGCTTTGGGTTTCAGAGATTTTGTGACAGATTCAGAATCCAAAGTGTCGCATCTACGGCATATTACCCGCCAGCGAACGGTCTTGCAGAAGCGTTCAACAAAACCATAGTGAAGCTCCTCAAAAAGTTTGTCTCCAAGAGCCGGCGCGATTGGGATGAAAGACTTGGTGAATGTTTGTGGGCCTACCGCACAACGGTAAGGACCTCTACAAGAGCCACACCTTTTTCTTTGGTATACGGCTGCGAGGCTGTATTGCCATTGGAAATCCAGATTCCTTCTCTGAGAGTCGCTATCACAACTGGACTAACAGAAGAAGAAAAACATCAACGACGTCTGCAAGAACTTGAAGCTCTAGATGACAAACGACTTCAAGCGCAGCAACAGATTGAGCTGTATCAAGCCCGTATTTCCAAGGCCTACAACAAAAAGGTCAAGGAACGGATTTTCAAGAAAGGCGATCTAGTTTTGGCCAACAGACGACCCATGGTAATGACCCACAAAACCAAAGGGAAGTTCAATCCCAAATGGGAGGGGCCCTTCGTAATAGAATCAGTCTATTCGAATGGAGCTTATCGTCTCATCAATCAAAAAGGAGATAGGCTCATGATGCCAATCAATGGGAAGTTCCTTAAGAGATACTTCCCATAAATCATGTAGCCCCCTGAACCCCAGCTAAATCAGGCTGGGGGTTGCCTATTTATAATGTAACCCTGTCTTGTATTTCGTCATGTTAACATTACACCTCTGACGATTGAAATTTGCTAGAATCAGTATAATAAAGAAAATTTCAATTTCATGCCAGGTTAACACTATACTTATGGCATTTGCTTTACTTTTCATTGTCCTGAACCAGATTTCAACAAAAGAGATGATGAGAGCCAAAATGATATCATTTTCATTCAATATTTTTGATTTGAATACAAAATGAATCGAAACGAAAATGATACAAAATTATTCCTAGCTAAAAAGCAATCCAAGTCCTAAACATCGGGGCTCATCAGTCTAAAAGACTTGAGTTTAGCTTTCAGCGCCAATATTTTCTCCTCACGAGCCTTTTTGACTTCCTCTGTTATCTTGCTCTTGAGCTCCTCTTCATTTGGCGCTGCTTCTGCAATCTCCCGCCTAACTTTGTCAGCAGCAACAAGCTCATCACAATAGCCCTTGAAAAGCCCGTCACAATAAGCAATTAACCCTTTTATGACTTCCATGTCGCCCGCTAATCGAGCAGTTATCTGAGCTTGCTCGATACCAGCACGGGTAAGCTCAATCGCAGTATCCCGAATACCTGCAGCAAAAGTGCCCAAGTCCACTTGCACTTGAAGATGTTCCCCGCGCAGGCGAGTAATACGAGAATCTGCTTCGTTTAGACTCTTCTGAAGAGCCTCTTGCTGATGTACCTTCAAAGCTCTGGCATGAGAAAGAGCCCGATCCACTTCTGGTTCGATGGCATCGCGTTGTAGCATTGAAAGGAATTCCAATTCGTATTCCAGAACAATAATGCTCTCGCGACAATGTTCAGTCCACGATGTATCCCCCTGGTCCCTAATCTTGGCAAGACACTTCAGCAGATGGGGTTCGAAGACTTTGAAACTCACGTCCCCGAGACTAACGACATCAATAGTCATCTGCATCCAGTACTCTAATTGCTCGATGAGTTTCCTCAAAGTCTCCGAGCTTGGGGGTGGAGCAGTCGGCGGATAAGTGAAGCAATTCTCATAATCAGTGCGAATGGGAGCGTTTACAGCTTTAGATGATATCTTTTCGGGCACATCTGGCACTGAATCTGGGACAATCAATCCCTGCCCACCTGTCAGGATTTCAGGACTAGGAGGAGCAGCTGGAGGTATAGTATCCCCGCTGTTTTCGGGAGACGAAGCAAGTGCAGACTTCATGGCGTCCCCCATCAGCTTAGCTCTCTTAGAGTTCTTAGCTGCGACAGGTTTTCGTTTACGAATTCTTCTATCGTATTCGCCTACCTCCTCAGCAGTAAGAGCCTTCTTCCCTGAAGATCTCAGGGGACGGGGTCTAGAAAGAGGTGCTCCCTCAAAAGCCTCTTTAGTGTCCTCTTCTTCTTCAGAAGGCTTAGCAGCGGGTAATTCCCCTGAGATTTCTTCGATTCCGGACGCCTCTCGTTCGCAGGACAGATAATCCTCTATCCCTGGTAATCGAGTCCTGCCGGAACCACTTCTTGATTTATAAAGCTCTCGGATTTCGTTTATACATGAAGTATAAATGTCATATTCTGGGATCAGAGAAGCTTTATCAAACCAATTGCGGAAATCTGCTACAGTGGAACAATTAGGTGGCAGATTAGGCAGAGTAAACTGCGCATGAGTTCCTCGGGCAATAAAGAAACGCCAAGCACGAGCTCCTTCATACAGATTCCCGATGTGAGCTAATTGTGGATTAGGGTTACCAACGTAAAGCTGGTCGTACCCGAACTGTCGGGCAAAACGTGAAGGAACGTAAGGCTCAATTATGCATCTTTCACCTATTCTGAAAACCAGATAACCCACCCTGATAGTGAGAAGCCATTGGAAGGTCCCTGTATTTAAAAGCGAGGACCCTTCGAAGACTACGTCGCCAAACTTCGGGCCTTCTTCTTCAGCCCCATCAAAGCAAGGGCGACAGCAAAAGAGATCATAACTGGCTTCCGAAGACAAAAGTTGCCTAGCCCGGACTATGTACGCAGTCGTCCACGTGGCTGGCTCGAGCCTTTGCACGAAAGGAGTAGAGGTCTCGTCAGTATGTATAATCCCCCGCATCAAAGAGGGACAGTGCAGCACAAACCAAGCCACTAAGTAAGTATAGGGCATTGGTGTGCGGGGTTGAGAAGTCTTCCAAACTTTCCTTCCGGCAACATTCATCTCCTTGACATCAAGGAGTTCAGAAGTCAAATCCCGCAAGCCTCTCTGCAGACAACCTGTCATCGCAGGAAGAAGACTGAGAGGTCTTCCGTGAGCCAAGAGAACGGCTGGATAGACAACCTCAATCAAGATTGACTCAGCTGGTTTCGTCGGCACGACGCATCGTTTCAACCATAGCATCAAGAAACCAGCAAGGAGGGCCGTGTCAGAAATAGGAATTGCAGCTTGAAAATGGAAACTGTCAAATTCACTGTCAGCTTCAAATCCATCTTCCAAGCACGTGTTCCTATAAGTGGCGTTAGGAGTTTTGATGCGAGCTTTGATACTCCTAGCAGAGCTTACAGCAAGACGGGTCACCTTCAAATCTTTTAGACCCAAATTCTGAAACAAATAATCTGCCCAAGCAGTATGCATGAGGCCACCCCCACGTATCCCGGCGACCTGAGCGCAGATGTGGAAATGACACAGCAACTCCCAAAAAGTGCTGTATATCTCAGGATGAGCAGTCTTCAAGAGGGAGAGTTCTTCAGTGGTTGGAATAAACTCTTCGTAGGGTGTTTGCCCGAAGGATAATCCCGATATCGCATGCATCTCATGGAGAGCGAATCCTAGCTCCCCCACAGGTGTGAAAAAGGTGCAGCTATCCGGATTATACCGCTCCAGCATAGCGAAGAAGCAGGGATAACTCTGAGTGATCCCACATCTAGTAGCCTGTACTGGTATAGTAAGGCCAGATTGAGCAAGAGGTTCTTTGAGTTCCTCAAGAACAAAATCTACCATCCGAGTCCACCAGCCATCCTCTCCGGAGAATAACCAGCCAGGAGAACGAAAGGCTTGTGTAGGAAATTCGCCCCGGGCAGCAATAAACTGGCGCATGAAAATGTTCGCGGGAAGAGGTGTCTCCTGAGCGAAACCCTTTTTCTCAAAACAACCAGGTCTCAGACCTTTGAGTTGTCCGCCAATTTGAACACGAGATGATCGGCCAGATCCAAACGAGATGTTCTCCCTCTCCTTGACGAGATCGAAGGCCAAGCCCCTGCGACCACCAACACTCAGGAAGTAGGAAAGCGGGTACATTCTCTTCATGCTGGGAAGGAAGAATAAACGATCATCGACTCTGCGCAGCATCCGGGAGTCTTCTACATACCCGACTTGTCCATCGGCAGATATATGGTCACCGAATAAAAATGAGGGTTTGACAAATTGATCCAAACCCGCAGGAGTTTCCAGATCCAGATCGGTGATCAAAGCCCTAAGGGTGGAACACTCAGCAAACCTAATTAAATGTGTTCGTTCCAAACTTGGGGAAGTGCATAAAGGAATTTCTCTACGAAGACCAAAAGCTCTCCCCATTTCGGGATCATCAGTGTAGTTGAAGTGCTGCTCCGGCAGAAGTGGCACATTGGGAAAAAGCACTGTAAAATCAGAAGCAATAGTTAGTAGCAGAAAGAGGTTGCTAACATGAAATAAACACGAAGAGTAAATTCTACGTGGTAAGCTTTAATACAAGAGCCAACATCAGTGTAGTTGAAGTGCTGCTCCGGCAGAAGTGGCACATTGGGAAAAAGCACTGTAAAATCAGAAGCAATAGTTAGTAGCAGAAAGAGGTTGCTAACATGAAATAAACACGAAGAGTAAATTCTACGTGGCAAGTTTTAATACCTGCGTTACAATACTTGAACGCAGAGATCAAATCCTGCGTTACAACACTTGAATGCAGAGATCAAATCCTGCGTTACAACACTTGAACGCAGAGATCAAATCCTGCGTTACAACACTTGAACGCAGAATTCTAAGCCTGCGTTTCCAATTTATAACACAGAGCCCTAAACTCTGCGTTCCCAATTTTAACATAGAGAATTAACTCTATGTTTCTTAAACGCAGTCTTAAGTCTGCGTTCCCAATTTGTAACACAGAGCCGTAACTCTGCGTTTCTGATAGAAAACGAGTCATCTTCCTCGTTGAGGAGAACCCATCTAGGGTTTTCAGAAAACTTGTCGAAACAAGTTGCCATGGCCACCGCCTACCACAGCATCGAGGCCCATGCGACAGCGACATCAACGCTGAAGCACTTGTCAGAACGGCAACATCGCCGGTGCTCTCGGTCGGCGACGTCTCCACAGCAGCCTTGCCAGACTTCTTGGAACCCGCACTCATCCTCCTGGGCGCCATGCGGATGGTTAGTCGTAGAAGATGAAGTTCGTCGGAGAATCAACCGAAATTAAAACGAGAAATCTCGTTCTTGGAACTAAGCAAGGCAAAAAAGAGTTGAATGACTCTTGATGTGACCTTACAGGTCTATTTATAACAGCCGTCGGGCTGTTCAATCGGTTCGGGACTCTAATCCCAACCAAATCTAAAACGTGATTTTCCACGTTAACGGATAAAGTCGGTTAGACTTTAACGCAGAGTTACCTCTGCGTTCAAATTCTTCAAACGCCAGGCCTAGACCTGCGTTCCTGCAGCAAAAGTGCCCAAGTCCACTTGCACTTGAAGATGTTCCCCGCGCAGGCGAGTAATACGAGAATCTGCTTCGTTTAGACTCTTCTGAAGAGCCTCTTGCTGATGTACCTTCAAAGCTCTGGCATGAGAAAGAGCCCGATCCACTTCTGGTTCGATGGCATCGCGTTGTAGCATTGAAAGGAATTCCAATTCGTATTCCAGAACAATAATGCTCTCGCGACAATGTTCAGTCCACGATGTATCCCCCTGGTCCCTAATCTTGGCAAGACACTTCAGCAGATGGGGTTCGAAGACTTTGAAACTCACGTCCCCGAGACTAACGACATCAATAGTCATCTGCATCCAGTACTCTAATTGCTCGATGAGTTTCCTCAAAGTCTCCGAGCTTGGGGGTGGAGCAGTCGGCGGATAAGTGAAGCAATTCTCATAATCAGTGCGAATGGGAGCGTTTACAGCTTTAGATGATATCTTTTCGGGCACGTCTGGCACTGAATCTGGGACAATCAATCCCTGTCCACCTGTCAGGATTTCAGGACTAGGAGGAGCAGCTGGAGGTATAGTATCCCCGCTGTTTTCGGGAGACGAAGCAAGTGCAGACTTCATGGCGTCCCCCATCAGCTTAGCTCTCTTAGAGTTCTTAGCTGCGACAGGTTTTCGTTTACGAATTCTTCTATCGTATTCGCCTACCTCCTCAGCAGTAAGAGCCCGCTTCCCTGATGATCTCAAGGAACGAGGCTCGGGAGAGAATGCTCCTTTGAGAACCTCTCTAGTGTTCTCTTCTTCAGAAGGCTTAGCAGCGGGTAATTCCTCTGGGATCTCCTCGATTCCGACCGCCTCCCGTTCGCAGGACAGATAATCCTCTATCCCTGGTAATCGAGTCCTGCCGGAACCACTTCTTGATTTATAAAGCTCTCGGATTTCGTTTATACATGAAGTATAAATGTCATATTCTGGGATCAGAGAAGCTTTATCAAACCAATTGCGGAAATCTGCTACAGTGGAACAATTAGGTGGCAGATTAGGCAGAGTAAACTGCGCATGAGTTCCTCGAGCAATAAAGAAATGCCAAGCACGAGCTCCTTCATACAGATTCCCGATGTGAGCTAATTGTGGATTAGGGTTACCAACATAAAGCTGGTCATACCCGAACTGTCGAGCAAAACGTGAAGGAAGGTAAGGCTCAATTATGCATCTTTCACCTATTAGGAAGACCAGGTAGCCCACCCTGATAGCGAGAAGCCATTGGAAGGTCCCTTTATTTAAAAGCGAGGACCCTTCTAAGACTACGTCGCCAAACTTCAAGCCTTCTTCTTCAGCCCCATCAAAACAAGGGCGGCAGCAAAAGAGATCATAACTGGCTTCCGAAGACAAAAGTTGCCTAGCCCGGACTATGTATGCAGTCGTCCATGAGGCTGGCTCAAGCCGTTGCACGAAAGGAATGGAGGTCTCATTGTTATGTATAATCTCCCCCATCAAGGAGGGACAGTGCATCACAAACCAAGCTACTAAATAAGTGTAGGGCATTGGTGTGCGAGGTTGGGAAGTTTTCAAAATTTTCCTTCCGGCAACATTCATCTCCTTGACATTAAGGAGTTCAGAGATCAAATCCCGCAAGCCTCTCTGCAAGCAACTTGTCATTGCAGAAAGAAGATCTAGAGATCTTCTAGACAACCTCAATCAAGATTGACTCAGCTGGTTTCGTCGGCACGACGCATCGTTTCAACCATAGCATCAAGAAACCAGCAAGGAGGGCCGTGTCAGAAATAGGAATTGCAGCTTGAAAATGGAAACTGTCAAATTCACTGTCAGCTTCAAATCCATCTTCCAAGCACGTGTTCCTATAAGTGGCGTTAGGAGTTTTGATGCGAGCTTTGATACTCCTAGCAGAGCTTACAGCAAGACGGGTCACCTTCAAAGTCTTCTGACCTAAGTTCTGGAATAAGTAATCTGTCCAAGCAGTATGCATGAGACCCCCCCCACGCATCCCGGCGACCTGAGCGCAGATGTGGAAATGACACAGCAACTCCCAAAAAGTGCTGTATATCTCTGGATGAGCAGTCTTCAGGAGGGAGAGTTCCTCGGTAGTGGGAATAAATTCTTCATAAGGCGTTTGCCCGAAGGATAGTCCCGATATTGCATGCATCTCATGGAGAGCAAACCCCAACTCCCCAACAGGAGTGAAAAAGGTGCAGCTATCCGGATTATACCGCTCCAGCATAGCGAAGAAGCAGGGATAACTCTGAGTGATCCCACATCTAGTAGCCTGTACTGGTATAGTAAGGCCAGATTGAGCAAGAGGTTCTTTGAGTTCCTCAAGAACAAAATCTACCATCCGAGTCCACCAGCCATTCTCTCCTGAAAATAACCAGCCAGGAGAATGGAAGGCTTGTGTAGGAAATTCGCCCCGGGCAGCAATAAACTGGCGCATGAAAATGTTCGCGGGAAGAGGTGTCTCCTGAGCGAAGCCCTTTTTCTCAAAACAACCAGGTCTCAGACCTTTGAGTTGTCCGCCAATTTGAACGCGAGAAGATCGACCAGATCCGAATGAGATGTTCTCTTTCTCCTTGACAAGATCGAAGGCCAAGCCCCTACGACCACCAACACTCAGGAAGTAGGAAAGCGGGTACATTCTCTTCATGCTGGGAAGGAAGAGTAAACGATCATCAACTCTGCGCAGCATCCGGGAGTCTTCTACATACCCGACTTGTCCATCGGCAGATATATGGTCACCGAATAAAAATGAGGGTTTGACAAATTGATCCAAACCCGCAGGAGTTTCCAGATCCAGATCGGTGATCCAAGCCCTAAGGGTGGAACACTCAGCAAACCTAATTAAATGCGTTCGTTCCAAACTTGGGAATGTGCATAAAGGAATTTCTCTGCGAAGACCAAAAGCTCTCCCCACTTCGGGATCATCAGTGTAGTTGAAATGCTGCTCCGGCTGAAGTGGTACATTGGGAAAAAGCACTGTAAAATCAGAAACAATAGTTAGTTGCAGAGAAAGGGTGCTAACATGAAATAAGCACGAAGAGTAAATTCTACGTGGCAAGTTTTAATACAAGGGCTAACCCTTGTATTAATACTTGAACGCAGAGATCAAATCCTGCGTTACAACACTTGAACGCAGAATTCTAAAGCCTGCGTTACCAATTTATAACACAGAGCCCTAAACTCTGCGTTCCCAATTTTAACATAGAGAATTAACTCTATGTTTCCTAAACGCAGTCTTAAGTCTGCGTTTCCAATGTTTTAACACAGAGTCCTAAAACTCTGCGTTCCCAATTTTAACATAGAGAATTAACTCTATGTTCCCTAAACGCAGTCTTAAGTCTGCGTTTCCAATGTTTTAACACAGAGTCCTAAAACTCTGCCCAATTTTAACATAGAGAATTAACTCTATGTTTCTTAAACGCAGTCTTAAGTCTGCGATCCCAATTTGTAACACAGAGCCGTAACTCTGCGTTTCTGATATAGAACGAGTCATCTTCCTCGTTGAAGAGAACCCATCTAGGGTTTTCAGAAAACTTGTCGAAACAAGTTGCCATGGCCACTGATTACCACAGCATCGAGGCCCGTGCGACAACGACATCAACGCTGAAGCACTTGTCAGAACGGCAACATCGCCGGTGCTCTCGGTCGGCGACGTCTCCACAGCAGCCTTGCCAGACTTCTTGGAACCTGCACTCATCCTCCTGGGCGCCATGCGGATGGTTAGTCGTAGAAGATGAAGTTCGTCAGAGAATCAACCGAAATTAAAACGAGAAATCTCGTTCTTGGAACTAAGCAAGGCAAAAAAAAAAAAGAGTTGAATGACTTTTGATGTGACCTTACAGGTCTATTTATAACAGCCGTCGGGCTGTTCAATCGGTTCGGGACTCTAATCCCAACCAAATCTGAAACGTGATTTCTCGCGTTAAGGGATAAAGGCGGTTAGACCTTAACGCAGAGTTATCTCTGCGTTCAAACTTTTCAAACGCCAGGTCTAGACCTGCGTTAGGATGGTTCTTAACTTTACGTTTCGAACCTCGAACGCAGAGGTCACCTTGTGCGTTGTGATTATCCTAAACAAAGGATCCACCTTTGTATTTTTGAACATGATACTTATTCCTAAAGTTCATGAACCCTTTTAACATGACATTATTAAACCTTGGTATTTCCTCAGCAGGGTTTAAATCATCGTCAGGTTAATATTACACCTCAGACGAAGGTCATATCCCACAGAGCTTGAGTTTTGTTTACCAGTTGTAACAATAATTCCTCTTGTCAAAATCTACTTATTGATTCTCATCAAAAGAACAATAAGTCTCCAAAATCATTCAAATCATGATCAATTTACTAACTCTCCCTAACAGAGTAGTAAATATTCAATTTATCGGCTCTCCTTAATAGAGTGATAAAATTCTTAAAATCTTGTTCAAAATCACAAGTATCACAATTCATCACTCCAATGATGAAACACTTAGCAATCTCCCCTAGCGAGACGCTACAATATTCTTTCCCCACAGATGTCATGTTAACACTACACCTCTGACAAATATTCACTTATCGACTCTCTTCAATAGAGCGATAAGTCCTCAAAATTGCTTCCATAGCAATATTCTTCTTGTCACGTTAACACTACACCTCTGACAAAAATCCACTTATCGACTCTCTTCAATAGAGCGATAAGTCCTCAAAATTGCTTCCATAGCAATATTCTTCTTGTCACGTTAACACTACACCTCTGACAAAAATCCACTTATCGACTCTCTTCAATAGAGCGATAAGTCCTCAAAATTGCTTCCATAGCAATATTCTTCTTGTCACGTTAACACTACACCTCTGACAAAAATCCACTTATCGACTCTCTTCAATAGAGCGATAAGTCCTCAAAATTGCTTCCATAGCAATATTCTTCTTGTCACGTTAACACTACACCTCTGACAAAAATCCACTTATCGACTCTCTTCAATAGAGCGATAAGTCCTCAAAATTGCTTCCACCTCTAACAGTTCAAACCTGTTTGAACCAGTTAATTCTTATGCAAAGGAATAACTAGCGTTCATACCTCTGACAAAAATCCACTTATCGACTCTCTTCAATAGAGTGATAAGTCCTCAAAATTGCTTCTATAGCAATATTCTTCTTGTCACGTTAACACTACACCTCTGACAAAAATCCACTTATCGACTCTCTTCAATAGAGCGATAAGTCCTCAAAATTGCTTCTATAGCAATATTCTTCTTGTCACGTTAACACTACACCTCTGACAAAAATCCACTTATCGACTCTCTCTAATAGAGCGATAAGTCCTCAAAATTGCTCCTATCGCAATATTCTTCTTGTCACGTTAACACTACACCTCTGACAACCCACTTATCAATCCTCGTCAATAGGATGATAAGTCCTCAAAGTTGCTCCGATCGCAACAAATTCCCGTCATGTTAACACCAAACCTCTGACAATCCACTTATCAATCTTTTTCAATAGGATGATAAGTCCTCAAAGTTGCTCTGATTGCAACATTCTCTTGTCATGTTAATATCAAACACCTCTGATAAAATCAACTTATCGACTCTCGTTAATAGAGCGATAGGTCCTCAAAGTTGCTCTGATCGCAACACTTTCCACCTATCGACTCTCGTCAACAGAGCGATAGGTCCTCAAAGTTGCTCCGATCGCAACACTTTCCACCTATCGACTATCAAACACCTCTGATAAAATCAACTTATCGACTCTCGTTAATAGAGCGATAGGTCCTCAAAGTTGCTCTGATCGCAACACTTTCCACCTAGCGACTCTCGTCAACAGAGCGATAGGTCCTCAAAGTTGCTCCGATCGCAACACTTTCCACCTATCGACTC